TAATTCACGTAATATTTCACGTAAAAAGCTAACTTAAATATTTTGTTTGACCGATTTATGGTACTACTCATTTGTCAAAAACCACATCTTTAAAAATAAAAAAAAATTCATTCGAATTAAGCAAGGATTATATTATATACAGTACGCATCATATCGTGATTTTGGGAATTAATAATATTTCTTGTGCTAATAAAATTTACAACAAATGATCGACAATAAGAGCAACAATACTTCAGCAAGAAAACAGAGTATGCATCTCAACCCCAGTATGCCGCTCCGTAACATTTTACGCTTAGTATTCGGTTCGGTTTTACCATTGCGAAATTTCATCCGGTTAAGCACCTGCGAGAGCATAAGTGAAGAGGGCGAAATGCAAAAGAAATATTATGAAGACATCAATGTTCTCTAAAACATGGGAACTGAAGAAACTGATAGGTTCATGGATTTTACCTTCAACGTCCTTTTATCACATCACGAACATTCTAGAGCACTAAATGGAACATTCAATGATTTTCTACCATTCAATACTAAAGGTAGTAGAAAATGTACCTTAGCTTGAAAGTCTTATCATATGAATAGTTCTTGGGAATCCATCGGGGATGACCAGTACTGCAAGATAGATTCGATGGTCAGCCTTCTGGTTGCGCTTAGCATCGAGATGAAAAACCGACATCCATCGATTTTGTATTCTTCAAGAGGATTTCTATGCGCAAAACTTCTGACATTCACCTGTTGACATTGACGTTTAACATGAGTATCAGACAGTCAGACAGCGAAATACAAACAGATGAGGATCACGGTGGTTACCGCTGAGCTTAATTTATTCATGTTCACGAGATGATCTCTCCAGAAGCAATCCAACGTCTTTAAAAGAACTGCTCTCTGTTTCCAAGAAAGCAAAATAGATCAGATGTTGTCATGTCAATCATATGTGTATACACGCCGAGACAACAACAAACATGTACCTCTATTTCTTTTATGTATCCATCATCAAAGCCAGATTCTTGAACAACATTCAAGTATGAAGCAATCAGATAATCACCGAGGAACTTCCGGAGAAGATTAATGGATGTTCGGTACCTCCCACTCCTACAGAAGATATTCTTATACTGTAAATCTCAAAATGACTCTCAATGGGCCATAATAGACGCATATGCACTTAGCATAGACAAAGACTCAATTAACTATAGCACTTACCCCGTCAAATCGTCAGAGCAAATATCGAGCCAACGTCTTAGTGAAGAATTCTTTCTGCGGATTCCCCTGAAAGCGTTTGGAGGTTTTGGCAGGTGTGGAAGGTAGAAGTCTTCCATTTTTATTGAACTTGTCTCATGCAGGCTTTCAAGGGACTGTAACATTGTTCCTTCTGTGATCCCAGAAAATGACTCTGATAGTACTCATTGTTAGATTTCATGTGAGACGAGAGGTGTTTTGTTCTCACAATACAAGATTTTCTTATGCCCATTAATGAAAAACAAAGAAACAAGCTTACCATCCAGTAGTTTCCCTGAAATAGCCATAAACTCTTTCAATAACTTGGCCAAGTTCCAGTATCTTGGATGCTACCACAAGAAATAAGATATTAGAAATGAAGATGGCAACAAAAACTGACAAAAAACATTCGAGAGAAAAGAGCTTTGGGATGACCATTTACTAGACCAGAGCTTTATTTACCTTATGTGGCTCAGAATTTCCAACGACGATTTCATCTACAACAGCTTGCATGTACCTGAGCAATAATTGTGTAGTTAAATGAGTGAGACCTCATACTCAATAGTCACTGGTTGAAGAACTATGTGCGGGAAACACATGCGAAAAATAAATGTCCATGGCTTTCTTTCACATGGACATAACAAAGGCTACTGCAGGTGTAGCGCTTACTGGAATATATGCTGGGAGCAACTTTCGTTATCACCCGTCAAAAGCAGTTGCCTTAGGTCATAGACATGCTTCCTTTGAACCTAAAGAAGAAATAAAAAAGAAAATAGTTTATTCAGATAACAGTGTATCCCAAAAACATCATAAACTTCTATACAGAATATGCCATAAATATAATAAAAACTACAAATAATACAAAGTTAAAACGGTCACCCCATAAAATTGGGAGACGATAAATGGTCAAGTAATATAATAAGAATGAAAAAGACGAACAATAGTACAAAGTAAAGAGAAAACATGCTGTAGTCTTTTTAAACTTAAAATCATGGTAAAAGATATATATTTCGATATGGTCGAGATGCAGATGCAGTAAAAGTAGCAAAATTGGTACCTCTAGCACTTCGTCAAACTCGACCAGGCTTTTTCTTATTCCAAAGAAGTATTTCTCTGCATTGATCTGGAGAGCTAGAAGCTACAATGCCAATGAGATGAGCCAGATTAGCAGAAAGAGACCATTTTTTAAAGGAAAACCAATGATGGAACCACAAAGAAAATTAAAAAGAACTATACCTGTTTTACTATTGTGTCACCTTCAATTGGTAAATCTTCATCATTCGTAATCTTTGATATAAGTCTTACAGCCCACTCAGTATCAAAATTGAACTTCTGAAACATCTCATCTTGCAAGCTGTGTGCAAACCAACAGTAAGACAAATCATGTTACAGAGCCAAGATTGGTATCATTCCCAAATAAGTTCACAATATCCAAGCAAAGTCTCTTTTACGTAAGTAACTTTGCTAATACAGAGGGTTTTCCAGTTCAGGAGAATGATCGATGTGATTACCTTACCATAAACCGCGTGGATCCAGGATCTCCTTGCCTTCCAGCTCTGCCACGAAGCTATAAGAAATAATATGGAGAGAGAAGCTTGGAAGATTATCAATCTATTAGCACATTTGATTAAAAAAAGTGACATCAGGCAGAGCAGCAGAACTAGTGGCTTACCTGGTTATCAATCCTCCGAGACTCATGCAAAGATGTCCCAATCACATGTAGGCCTCCAAGCCTCTTCACTTCAGACCCTTCAAGCAGACAATGAGCCTCACAATCCTCTAAGACGGACAGATAAGCCAAAGCAATAGCAGGGCCTAAAGGGTACATTTCTGACTGCTTGTTGACAAGATTCAGCAGTTCCATAGGATCCATCGTCTGGCTTTTCTCCAAAGATTCTGTGACCACGGCCTTTGCTTTTTTCCTCGTCCAGCTTTTATTTTCACTTTTGCCAACATATTTTGCTGTCTCAATTGAATCCAAAAAAAACATCAAACAGGATCCATAAAGTATGTGCACAAATTCCTTAAATGAGTGTTGGAATTTGAGAGGCAAACCCATAAGAGAAGCTCTGGCTAGCAAAGCTAACGACGATGGTCCCACTTTTATTTTTGACAACACCTGAGATGATTCACAGGACAGTTCAATTATTCTACAATGGGATAGAAGTAATCCTCAAGAATACTTAAGTAAAGAGCTCATAATATAATTCTTTTGCAGGAAATACCTTCTGCGATAACTCATTATCGTCAATATTATCAGCCAAAACTTCACTTGTTAGATATGTAAGGATGCTATCTTCTATGATTTCCCTTGCAAGCATCTGAAAGATTACAGCCACAAACATAGCAGGAAATCAATGTACAGATCACAAAATGAAAATAATACACAATTAGATGCTCTCACAAGTATAGTCATCAAAGAGACACTCAAGTGGAAAATTAAGGATGTTTATACCTTTGGATTTCCTCCCAGAATAATGTCGGTACCTCTGCCAGCCATATTTGTCGAAATAGTAATGGCATATTTTCTTCCGGCTTGGGCTATAAAATCAGCTTCTCTGGCAGCATACTGAATGAAGTAAAACAGAATATTAGAACTATCTGATATCGTTTACATGCTATGTTGATTTTACTATGCTGAGGGATAAGTTTCAGATCCACCTTGGGTCGTGCATTCAGGACATTGTGAGGAACACCCCATTCTTTCAGCAGTGCTGATAAATATTCAGAGTTCTCTACACTGCAAAATGACGCTATCTTGTTAATAGAGGAATAGTAGAAAGTATTTAAACATAGAAATAAGTCTTCTCATGTACGTACTCCTATTTGGTTCATCATTAGTTCTTGCAACATAAACCATACACGATTAAGAAATTCTACATGTATATATGTCAATGTTTTGAGACTACCCCAAGAAAAACGAGATTCAATCTTTCTTCTGTACATGCAATATATTTTAAATATGTGTGCAAAATATCCTATAGTGGTTTAATCGCATGGAGTTACCTTGTTGTTCCTACTAAAACAGGTCGACCTTGTCCGAACATATCTTCAACTTCTCGACGAACATATTCCCATTTACCCCGAGCAGTCTAACAGAGGGATGAACAAGAAAGCGTAATTAGTTTAAATTTTAACAATAAGGCAAAGGATCCAAACAGAAATGTGAGTTTTTAGGATGCTTACTGCAAAAGCTTGTATAGGTAGATCGATTCGAATATTTGACAAATTTGTTGGAACTTCAATAACAGGTATCTGGAACATTTTCAAAAACTCTTTTTCCTGCAAGAAAGTGAAGAAACATGCGTGACTCAAACTGCCGTGTGTAGTCAAGAGGATCATATGTTTAAAACAGATTAAGAAGGTGGGTCAATCCCCAGGTGCATACTTCTGTTTTTGCTGTCCCAGTCATCCCGGAGAGCTTTGGATAGAGTTTAAAGAGTGACTGATAGGTGATTTGAGCCACAACAATTGAATCAGCCTAAGATCAAAGAGTTAGTTTCATGAGTATGAAAAAATTTTAGGATTGCTTTACATTACAACTTATGAGTCCGGGTGACAGACCTGAATTTCTAGACCTTCTTTAGCCTCCACAGCCTGGTGGACTCCTTCAGACCATCTCCTTTTCTCTTCAACTCTTCCAGTCAACTGAAAATATTTGAATCCTTACTCAAATTCTCATACTGTTTTAAATTATGAAAGAGTACAAAAGAAACTACATTAAATACTAGCTGTCTCAGATCGATTTATGAAATGAAACAATGAGTACAATTGAACCGAGAATTACTCATACCTCGTTAATTATAAGTGCTTTCCCATTTCTCACAATATATTGAACATCACGCTTGTAAAATTCTTTAGCTTTCAAAGCATTCATAACAAACCTGCATTAATAAAAAAAAAAATTCCAATAAACAGGGATAACAAAGAACTGCACAGAAACTTTGAACTAAATTTGAGAAATAAAATAGTTTGAAACAGGAAAAAATAACTATAAATAAGAATATGATAGGATTGCGAATATGAAATAAGGTCAGCAAGCAGTTTCTTACTGAAAAGTTCTTACGAGTATCGTTACTCATAATTGTATACGTAAAAAAATAATACAGTACCAATGCCACTATTCTTTGTTCAATCATAAGCCTTTTATTAGCAACAACCTATCACCACCAGTAACTGCTAAACGTATGGCATTATTCTAAATTTTGTAACCATGACCACCAAATCTAAAAATTCCCCATTCAAAGTCTTACTACTAACTGCCAAGCACCGAAGTCTTACATCACCATTTGGAACATAAAGAGTAAAAGTGATAGTAACAAGTAGATACCTTGCCCATGGATCATTTTCGTCCCATAAATCACCCGTCTCAAGAGCCAATTCAGCAAGAGCTATACCTTCTTCTGTGAGTTCCACTGAGTTCTCTTTCAATTCAACTTTGTAGTGCTATGAACAAGATTTTCAAATATCGTTTATAAAATCTGTAACTGAACCCAACAACAAAAAATGGTTGCAATAAAAAAACAGGAAAAAAGAAAAGGTAAAACTCACAAGATCTTTTACGAGAATTTCAGCAACTTTAGCAGCAACTGGATATCGTGCGGCATTTTCATTAGCCTGTGATACACGCACATCATAAATGACTCCATCAATCTTTGAAATAATGTCCCACTGATATTGTTTTTCTTTCTCTATTGCATAGGAAAAATCTTAACCAGATTCGGACTATAATCTAAATGTCTAAATCTCCAGAGAATAAAACTTTTAAGCTTATCAAAATGAACCGTATTACCTCACCACTAATTAGCAGAGGATTTCTGCCTTCATCAATGAGAACTGAGTCCACTTCGTCAACTATTGCAAAGTGAAATGGTTTTGGCCTGCAGCAAAAAACTGTCACTATTGAAAACAACTGAGCAGTGAATAGATTTATGGAATCTACCATCTCATCACAAGTTGTTCACTGTTTGAAGTAAGGTTATCTCGCAGATAATCAAATCCAAGCTCCTGAGATATGCACAAGTGTTAGTAGAAAGAGATGAGAGAAAAATACATAAAAACAAAGTATAACCCAAGTAGGAGAATCGATATGAATGAAATACTTGCCGAATTATTGGTGTATGTTATATCACAGCTATAGTTGAATTTTCTCTCTTCAGGTTTCATTCCTCTCTAGTTGCACAATCAGTTGTAGACGAGAATGCCATTAGTTTGCTGCTTTGAAAGGTAGAATGCAAACAGCACCTGTGAAACCTACCTGAATGAGACCAACTGAAAGGCCTAAGAAGCGGTGAACACGGCCCATCCATTCTGCATCACGCTGGGCCAGGTAATCATTCACAGTAACCACTGCCACCAGAAAATCAATACCAACAGCTTTAGCTAGTTGTTAAATGATACGTCTTTATAGGTATATCATTGTTTATCGGTGTTCTGCGAAAATTGCGGCAACTAGGCAATACATCACACCAGCCTTTCTCAAAATATCAGCATTTATCAATTCGTAAAGTGGTCAGAGAGAGCAGACAACATACCATGAACGCCCTCGCCAGTTAATGCGTTAAGATATGCAGCTAATGTAGAGACAAGTGTTTTCCCTTCACCTGTCTTCATCTCCGCAATGGATCCATCATGAAGCACTCCTCCACCGATTATCTGAACAACGAAAACCATAAGTATACTTAACAATCTCGAGGAGAGATTGATAGAAATGCACACCAAGAAATAGTATAAATTACAGTTTGGGAGTACAGATATAGACAGACCTGCACATCAAAATGACGCATTCCAATTGTTCTCTTTGCAGCTTCACGGACAACGGCAAACGCCTCTAGACAGGGAAACACACACAGAAAGTGAGAAAGTAATTGCATATGTTTATCAAAACAAGTACATTCCTAAGAGAAAAGTAAACTAGAATCCGCATAAGATTTTGATCAGACCAGCTTGCATATCTGCTAGGGACTCTCCTCGCGCTAATCTTTCTCGAAATTCTGCACTTTTAGCTTTCAGCTAACAAGGAAAACAAACAAAAGTCAAAATACATTAAAGAAACATATCAATAAATAAAACGTCTCAAGCAATGTACACTAAGTTAAACCTGTTCATCGGAACGGCTTTGAACCTGTGGTTCAAAGGAATTGACAGATTCCACAAGACGATAGTAGTCCCGCACAACCCAATAATTCATGCTCGTGAAATCTTGTAAATTCCTCTTCAAGCGACCCAAGTTCCCCTACAATATGGATGAAACTAAAGTAAATAAATAAAACATGAGGAGAAGTCAAATACCACTGAGAAAGAAAGTTCCATCCCCAAGTCTCAAAAAAGCACCACAAAAATATCCTTAGTAATCAAACATTCATAAAAAATTCCATGAGAGAAAAGAAACACCCGAAACAGCTAAGAAATACAGAAGAGACAAATGATCGAACAGTTGGTGTGCAACAAGTACAGACATAGTTATCGCAGTACAGTACTAATGAGAGTTGACGCATATCATACCGTTAGGGAAGCAGAGACACAGCTTCTTCGAACAAGGTGACACCTCTGATACGGCGTGACAGACCGAGAGAGAAAAACAGTAGATTTGGGTTTTGTCCATGGAAAGTTGTTACTTTGAGACAGGAGGAAAGGGGCAGAAAGGAGACATGTATTAGGGTTCACAAGATTCAAGACAGTGCCCATATTCACAAATATTGATTTGTAACAGTAACTATCTTGTTGTCGTGGTCAAGCATCCATGTCTGAAGGAAGCTCTGTGTCTCAGTTCTCGTTCCGCAGTCCCCTGAAAAATGTTTCACACCAATGGGTGGCGCTAAATTACTACTGGTTAGCCCCAATTTAAATGGACTTGATAACTACTAGTTTTACTATAAGTCCCTGAGAATTTTAGTCTTTCGCAATTTGTTTCTTAACTTTAGAAATTATCATCTTTTTTTTTTTTTTTTGTCAACTTCATCTTCTTGTATCGATCATTTTATCTCAAAGTAGTATAAGCCAATTGCGA